CATTATATACCTTTGTACAAAACAAGATCCAATACATGGGTAGCTTAAGTTTCCATAAGCCACATACAAATGTTGCTTCTTTGCAAAAGGAACGCATCTGTTTTACATTTGATTTATTTTCTCAGGATACTCTGCTAAGTGCCTTTATCGCATCTCATTTCTGTAGTAACCCCCAAAAAAAAAGATCAACTGTATGTAGAAAATAAACTACAGTACCGATTTATCCACAATATTCTGAATAATCATTCTGTATTACAATAGAATTATCAAGAAAAGTTAAACAAGTAGTCAAGAGACTTATATTCCAGATTTAAAATCAAATTTTAAATGATGGTGGAACAATTAGCTACTTCAAAAAGAAGTTTATTTAAATTCAAATTAAGAATGGTTTTTACCATGTGACAAATCAAAGAAAATTATTAAAATATTAATAGTCACCAGGGATCAAACAGCGAAAATAAATCATAACACAAAAGATTTATTTACACAGGCTAAGTGTATCTTTTTGCATTTCAGACTTAGTATTGTCTTGATCCCCAAGTAAATAAAATCAAAATTCAAAAATCAGAATCCTTAATAAAATCAGATTCCAAAAAGGAAAAAAAGGTACTCCAAAAAGGAAATTAAATTCCCTGGCAACCCTATAATATTAAACAGAACATGCTCTAAAAGAAAAAAAAATACTTGGATCATGCAAAATTTCACTGAAACTTATAAAATGTCAATAATTTTTTAAAAATTTTGTTAAAATGTGTCCAATTAAATTCATCATATAAAAATTTATGAGGCATCATTAAAAAAAGAAAATAGCCTGTTACATGTTAGAATAAAATTAAAAATATAAATCTGTAAAGCTTTAGCCTTGCAATTCAACCAAGCTCACAGCTGGATTTTTATTTTTTCGGAAGCAAACATACCGTAAGTCTTCTTCATTCTCAATTTTTGAAAAGAATAAGAAAAGGCCTATTCTGATAAACATATTTTGTTCAGGTCCTCCAACCACCAATACTTGAAATTTTAGTAAGAGTATGAGACATAAAGACAGCTAGGTATTTATTTTAGAAACTTCTAAAAAGACTCCATAATAATGAACCATCCACATTAGGCAGTTCTGAGCAAATGTGTTCACATCTGATAGGATTCTATACTAAGGTCTTTATAGCCCAATCAGATCAAATATTTAGAATGTGTCTAAATTCCAAATCTCAAACTAAAATGGGGAAATTTGTTTAATTACTGTAAATCCTATTAAACCAATCTTCTTTGTAAAGTGGAAAATGTCTGACCTCTGAAGGCTGTGGAGGGTATAATGAATGCAGAGTTTAATTAGGGCCCACTGCTGGCTCACTATAATCTATTAATTAGCATTCTCAGTTCTCCATATCTCATTGCAATGTTTTACTTTACTTTAAAATTGCACCCTTCGGTTTTTGGACCAAAGTTATACAATTTTTGGATTGTGTAGTAATTATAGGGGATGCTGAAAGAATATATTCCTGCCAGCATTGGGGTTTAATTAGGGCAAGGGGCGGAATCTAGATAAGGCACTGTTCACCCTTCCTCCGCACATATGTCTTTTTTGGCATCATGGTCCTGTGGACTGTTTCGCGTCCAGTGCACTGAGGTTCTGACTCCTCACTATAATCATTTCAGAAGATATGGTATTTTGCCTTTTAAATGTAGCTGAATAAATAAAGGCTATTAACACTGTTTCTCATCATACACTTTTAAAGTACAGACAAAATTAACTGCATCAATTATTTGGAAATAAAGAAATATAACAAAACTATTTTCCTTGTTAAAATGGACATTTCCAATTTGCTTGATAATAAAGATTACCATGTTGATATTTTCAAGACATTACAAGGTAAACTGGAGGCTCGCTAATTCAAAAGTAAATCTAAAAATCTTAATTTAACTTCTACCAAAAGCCACTTTAATTATACACACACTTACATTTATATAAACACACAGTCAATCTTTTCTTGAAAGGTAGACTCTTTTAAGGAAGTGTTAATACATGTGCAATTCTTACACAGCCATTACAGTTTTTATTTTATCTACTTTTCAAATGAATGAAAGTAAACTGTGATTGCTATTAACAATACATTTGAAATTGTATAATATTCAAATACAATGCACTATATACTTAACTAAGTATAAAAAAAGTACCTTATATCTGAGCACTGATATACCATTAGTGCATACGCCGAAATTATCAATCACAATTTTATGAAATTACTGAAACCTAACTAACACTCACTCTAGTTTCTAAGTCCTCAACTATTATAGTTTTACTCTGTGACAAGACTAACTAAAGCAAACATTTTTTTCTCTATTGATAGTTCGACATACAAAATTATAAAAAGCATTCAAAATGTCCTATTATTTTTAAGAATTATAAATTTTTAGTGTATACTTCACTTTCTGACAACATAAACATTAACCCAAGAAAAGGTATTTTCCCATTGTGTTGCCCTATCATCTGATTTGGTTTCATCTTGTGTATCAATGATCTCCAAGATAAGGAGACATCAAAGTCTCCTGGTTGGCTTTTTTTAACTAAACATATCTAACATATTGAATACCTTTTTTTAAAAAAGACTTATTTATTTATGCATACAGAATTGGGGTGCAGGCCAGAGGTGCTGGGGCAATGAGAGAATTCACCAGAGACAGAGTGGGGAGCAGAAAAGGCCAACTGATGAAGTACACTGCTGAGGGGAGCAGAGGGTGGGTCAGGAGAAGTTCGCTGCACCATGTGGGTCACCTCCAGGGTGGGGTTCAAACTCATGCTAAAGTGGCTTTAGTTTCTTAGTGCTGTGCTTTAACCCACTGCGCCACCAGGGAGGGCCCTTGAATATCTTTTTTTCTGGATTCTCATTCCTTCTATTGAGGGTCACTGTCACTGTTAATGACCATCATACAAAGATTTCTGTATATCAGGAGTCTGTCACAACCATGAGGTACAATGTGGGAGAAAAAAGGATGAACTGCATTATACTCGTGGTCCATGGTTTTTTTTTTTCTTTCTTTCTCTCACAACTGAGCTCAAAACTGAGCACAATTGTGGTACTGACAGGATCACCACAAATTCCTTCTGGCAAATGAGTAACAGAATAGTTTAAGAATCAGAGGCACTAAATTGTTAAGATCCCAATTGGTTTATCACCAGTCCTACTAGAGAAGCATGCTGAAGAGTAAAAGTTCCTACAATTATCTCCAGAGAATGTATATTTTAAACAAATACATCTGTTGATGCTGATAGAAATGTGCCAGTATTTAGGAATCCTGTCCTCACTTACTTCTTTTATTTTGTTTTTAGTCTTGATCACTAAAACATGGAAAACACTTTAAGGAATAGTTATTAAAGACTATTTCCTCCTTTTTACAATGATCCTTAAAAGATTCAGAGACTGGCCCTCCCTGGTGGCGCAGCGGGTTAAAGCACTGCACTGAGAATCTAAAGCCGCTTCCGCATGAGTTCGATTCCTGCCTGTCCCG